TGGTAAATGCAGCAGCGAGGAGACGGTTGGAGGCAGTGGAGATGTCCTGTTTAAGGGCAATGTGTGATGTAAATATTATGCAGAAAATTCGGAGTGTGGAAATTAGGAAAAGGTGTGGAGTTAATAAAAGTATTAGTCAGAGGGCAGAAGAGGGGTTGTTGAGGGTGGTTTGGTCATTTAGAGAGAATGGATCAAAGTAGAATGACATGGAAAGCATATAAATCTATAGGGGAAGGAAGGCGGGGTAGGGGTCGTCCTCGAAAGGGTTGGAGAAAGGGGGTAAAGGAGGTTTTGTGGGCAAGGGGCTTGGACTTCCAGCAAGCGTGCGTGAGCGTGTTAGATAGGAGTAATGGAGACGAATGGTACTTGGGACCTGACGATCTGTTGGAGTGTGAGCAGGATAATATTTAGTGAAGGGATTCAGGGAAACCGGTTATTTTCATATAGTCGGACTTGAGTCCTGGAAATGGGAAGTACAATGCCTGCACTTTAAAGGAGGGGTTTGGGATATTGGCAGTTTGGAGGGATATGTTGTGTATCTTTATATGTGTATGCTTCTAAACTGTTGTATTCTGAGCACCTCCGCAAAAACAGTGATAATGTGCGAGTGTGGTGAAAGTGTTGAATGATGATGAAAGTATTTTCTTTTTGGGGATTTTCTTTCTTTTTTTTGGGTCACCCTGCCTCGGTGGGAGACGGCCGACTTGTTGAAAAAAAAAAAAAATGTAAATACTGTACTGTATTTCCAGGGGAGCGTTGTGAACACAGAATGCTGAGGATTCCATTCAAGCCACTGTCAGAGAGGATGTTTGAGGAGCCCTTCTGGTTGGGCCTGATGACTGTGGCTATTGTCATGGGCTGCATTGGAATTATCTTTTGCATTAAAAAGCATTTTGCCGAAAAAATTGAGAAGTTCTTCGCCGAGGAGATTGAGAGGAGCAAATATGGTAAGTTTAGGGAATTATTGGTTGCATGTTCGAATTAGAAATGAAATAAAAGAATTACTAATTCTTATGTAATAAACATTTTAATACAATACAGTCCTGCACTGCTAAGCCAAACTTATCAGAATCTGAAAAATTTTTGAAAGTTTAAAATTTTTGATCCTTACTAACCAAAAAATCTGTGATATACGGTATGTATTTGGAAAAATCTCATCATAATTGCCTCAGATTATTTTTTCTGTAATATAAAAAAATGCAAAATTTATATCATCTGGTTTACAAGAAGTCATTAGATATGCATAATTGAATTGTAATTTATATTAGAATGGCTACTGATGAAGACACTGGTAAATCACCACCACCACAATTCATAGTTACTGTTTGAAGTGTTGCCCTCACCATGACCTTAGTTCCTCGTGCAATTTTCCTGCTTTATAAAGAATAAAAAGGCACAATACCATGGCTGGAACAATACACAAATAACCTGATTTGCAGGTTATTTGTGTATTTCTCGCTTTGTATTCTCTTCCTTGTCCACGTGCCACAAAAATGATGAATATTTTGATGGTGGTGATAATGCCGCTGCTCTGCTTGACAGCATGACTGCTAGATGGAGGTGTGCATGTCTATTATATGTCAGTGAGCAGTGTTGGGGGAAAGCCTTAAGTATTGTGGTAGTTGAACTTGGGAATCAAATAAAAAAAAAGGAATTGACTTACCTTTGTTGAATGGTTCAAGTGCAGCACTGTATATATTGTGTAATTCATAATCATGAATTAGCATAATTATTTTCAATAAGTTAAAACAAGAATTAAATGTTCTGTAACAATTGAAAAGAAGGGAAGCATTGCAGTGTTGTAAGGTGAAAGAAGTCAGTTGAAGGTTGAATTATTTAATTATTTTACTAGTGTACATTAATGGAAGTTAATCTTTATTTTCTATAGGTTATTGTACAGTATCTGTATTAATTTCAACCATTATTTTATATATATAACTATTATAACTTATTACCAATAATTTAGCTTGGAGAGAATATCTTTGCATATCATTGCCATTCAGAAGGCCATGTGAAGTGGCATGTCAGTGTACTTCTTGCAAGTCAGCGATAGAACAAGTGACAATGAATGCATCTTTATTTTTGGGCTGCCCTTCCTTTGTGTGTTAAAAAGTAAAGAATATAAGTTATGTCAGTGTTTCCTAAAAACTTATGTTTGTGAGAAAGCTTTTGATTGAAATCCCCTTATCTAAATAAATTTTGAATTAAATGAATCCTAATGGATAATACTGGATGTAATTGACTTTGTCCATTGGGTTATGTCTGTTAAATCCAAAATATGAGGTTTTCCTATTCTTCAGCATAACAGTGGAATAAAATATTAACCCTTTGACTGTTTTGGTCGTATATATACGTCTTACGAGCCAGTGTTTCAGACGTATATATACTCAATAATTCTAGCGGCTTCAAATCAAGCGGAAGAAAGCTGGTAGGCCCACATATGAGAGAATGGGTCTGTATGATCAGTGTGCACCACATAAAAAAAATCCTGCAGCACACAGTGCGTAATGAGAAAAAAAAACTGATCGTTTTTTTGGATTAAAACGCCGACTTTGAGGTGTATTTTCGTATAGTATTTATCGATGTATTTGCGCTTTCATGGTCTTAGGTGATAAAATGGAAAACATATTATAGAAAGAGATGATTTTCATTACTTTGACGATGTAAACGTCCTTGAAACTGAGCTCAAAGTAGCGGAAATGTTCGATTTTTACCAATGTTCAGGAGTAAACAAATCACACCACACGTCCAATACACGTCAACTGGGGAGTCAAATATTCTTTCACTAGTGCACTGATATTATTTATACCATTTTTACAATAATGCAGTAGTCTGCATAACAGTAAATTTTGTATTTTTTTGTATGAATAAAAAATCAAAATAGAAAGCAATAATAATATAAGAGGGGCCTAGAGATGTGACTAAAGAACAGAGGATATGTTATTTTAGTGCCAAGAATGTCTACCTTGTTTATTTCGGACCCTATTTTGAAATTGGCATCTTTTTTAGTTTGCGTGAAGTTGGCCAAATTGCCAATTTCTGACCACAATATTGGGTAGTCCAAATTGGTAAATGGGAGGTTTCTTGTACTCAGCTGATAGATAAAATGGAGTTCTAAAGAAATAGCTGAGTTTGGTCAACTGGAACAACGGAATTGGCTGAAAATAGGGCTCAAAGTCGGCGAAATCGCCGGTATGCATATGTCGCCGAGACCGATAACTTCGCGGGAGCGTAATTCCATGAGTTTTCGACCAAATTTCGAACTTTTGGTGTCATTACCATCGGGAAAAGATTCTCTATCATTTCATAAGATTTTTTTTTTTTTTTTTTTCCAAAAATTTAGCGACATAGAATGACAGTTTCAGGAAGGGGCCTGAAACAGTCGAAGGGTTAAAGATAACAAAAAATTAATAAGATTCTGCAACATAATTGAAAAAAAATAAAATTGAAATGACTCTGGGAAGGGGTTTCAAATCAGTATAAATGCTCTTTTAGTGGTGTGGTGACAGAGCTGACTGTATCGTGCCTAATAGAAATTTAAATCCTGGCATCAAGATTTGGGACACATTTGTTGTGATTTGGATGCCAATTGGGTTTCCTTTATTGACAGTTTACCCAGTGACCAAAAAAAAAAAAAGCATTTTGGAATCCAATGAAATAACATGGAAGTTGGCCTGTATACATCAGAGGTAGTGGTTTCAAGTTATTAGAAATTTAATTTTAATGTGGTGATCAAGATATCAGTGTGCTCAACTTTGTCATTCACAGCAGAAGTTTAAATCCTGGCTGGGACACTTTGGATCAAGACATGAGTTGAGATTGGTTTGCTTTGTAGTTCTCAATACAAATACTGTACAGTACTCTATGAATTCTAAATTTGTTAGTTTTTCCTTGAGAAACCCTGACAGCTAGCCATTTCAAACAGAAGTTGCTTGCTTTGTCTTTTTGGTATTAGAAAAGAATTATGTACATGTATTTTTGCAACAAAAATTTTCACTTCCCTTTTTATATAAAATTTAGCATCACGTTTAATGCCAATGCATATGGATTATTATGTAATTGCTTAGTTTTCATTAATATTTGTTCATCTAATTTTTTTCTTTATGTAATGCAGAAAAAGCTTGGGTGAGTTTTGTGGAAAAGGTTGCAGTATTTGTTTGACATTCTTACTAACTTCAATTTGTAAAGAGTTCAACTGTCTACTGCAAAATCTGTGACTTCTCAGTGAATATGTAGTTAGTTTATGCAACAGTGGTAGTGGGGGTCATCACTGATTTTATTGCAAAGTCATTTCTTTTTTCTTGCCTTTGGATGCTATTTTTTGAGCTTAATTTATTGAGCAGAAAAATATTTAAAGTCCCATTCTTAAATCTAAAAACTCTTTTATCATAAAGGAACAATTAGATCATTTATAAATTTGTTGTATATAATGGTGCAGGTGTTATGTGCTTTGTATACACCTCTGGTCCATCTGTCTGTTGCAGTATTGGGGTAATAAGTGATGCTTTGCTTCAACTGTTGCATTAAACCAGCTTTATGTTCCTTCTTTAACACTAAAAAAGGCACTATATGCTCTCCTTCATCAAGTCACATCAATTGCGAGTCTGGTATATAAGGTGGGTTCCAGGTATTGGCATCTTGGAAATCCCCAGAGAGTGTACAGGTGTGAGGTAGATGGTAGCATGAGCTTGGTAGTTGTGTAGTTGCTAGTGCTTGGCAGTGTGACACCCAGGAGTCTTAGAGATTGGTTATTGTACCTTGTCACAGCATCCCTGGTTGCTGACAGATGACTGCCCAACATTAAGAAGCCTTATGATTCAATAACAAAACGTTTTAGTCAAAATAAAGATGAGAAGAATGAAAGCCACATTATTGTGGCTGAAACAACACAACTAATCCACAAATTGGAGCTTAGGCAAGGGAGCTTTTTGATCCATCCTGGACTATTATCACATCTCCTCTTGATTGATGGTGGTCTAAGATGAATCAGAATGTTTACTTTCTTTGTCAGTATGAGTTAGTTGTGAATAACTTTAGGATACAGACCAGTATTTAGAGAAATATGTATGCTATTGGCTTGCAGATGTGCCATATATCAACAAATTATTCTTTATTTAGAATTAAAAACTATTAAATGTTATTGAAATTTCAAATGTGGTAATAAACCCAAGATTTTAACAATTTTGAACTAGAAGTTATTCAGTAAACTATTAATTGACTACAGTAATATACCAGCAATGCTACCAATATGTCTTATAAGCATAATTTTCTTTTTTTTATCTTTATTGTCTAATTTACATTATTCTCAGGATACTTTTTACACGCGATGCTCTCCCAAAACCTAAGTTTGCATCCAAATTCAGATTTGTACAGTGGCCTGAAAACAAATACTTGTAATCCCATGAGCCACTGATAAAAGTTGTATATCAGATTCTTTGTACATGCTATTAACAGAGAACCAACTAATCTATTTTTGATCTGCGGCATCAACTTGGACGAATGCAGAAGGTGGGAAATCGTTTTTTCTGGGCACGCTGGCACTTACTAATATTGTAAGCCTGGGTGGCCCCTCTGCCCAGGCTTGAGGAATGATTTTTAAGGTTAATTCTGCACATCCAACTGCCAATCAGATAGAAGGGAATGATCATATACCTTATTGAAAGAGCATATCAGATAAAATTTACCAAGAATCACTATATATAATTTTTGTATTCTAATTTTCATGCATCTCCTAGATTTTTTTTAAAGAAATATTAGCATGTTTTAATCTCATCCTAGAGTATTCTGCCTGACCAAACCACCAATAAAAAATCCCATTGTGCCTCTGGTAGAAATAGCATTGGCCTCAACCCTGCTTACGTACAGAGGTGTCCCCAGCTACTCCTAATGCTGCCATCACTGCTGCATCTTCACCATTATGTATATTGTATAATAAATAGTGTTCACTAAATTCATTTATAAAAAGCACAGGGTGATTTGATTACTTGCTCTCACATATGAAAATGGCATGATTTAATATGTAGTGACAGCATCAGTTGAATATTTGAAATGATGCAAGGCCTGTGACTGCCGTAATAATCACTGTGACTGTTGTAAGAGTTACTGCGGCTGTTGTAGCAGTCGCTGCGGCTGTTGTAGAAGTGATTCAGTTGTCGTGATTGATTCACCAGTCATGCAGTCACTTAGCTGCAGCAATAGCAAGAAAAAAAATGTTTGTAGATGCATATTTTGTTTCAGTGCAGCATTTAAAGTGTTTGCCATTTCAGATACCAAAAACATCATTGAACAAAAACTATATTGTTTTGTTTAGTTTTTTCAAGTTTGAGAATGCTCCTGGTTTGAGCGATTCTAAATCTAACCCACTACTCATTTTTTCCCCAAAACAATAAATTGGCCAACAGTTTTCTGGATAGGTAATTTATTTTTTATTTTTGTTGATTTCTGTCATTTTTCATACTGTTTATAGACTCATCTTAAGAAATACATGAATTATCTAATGGTATTCAAAATGTAGGGTATTATTTCTTGGAATGGCTTGATAGTGTTTTCATTTGTAATATGGTTACTCCCAGTTGTACTAATGTATTCATTTTAAAATACAGTATGTCAACAAAATGTGTAATTTGTGAACCAGCAAGAAGGTTTCCACCAATGTATTAGTATTGGAAATGTGCAGTACATTGTGTTAGCATTGATTTAATTTTAAAGATGATTTATGTAAATTGATCAAGCCATGTCACCTAAGTGCTGATCTGTAAGAAATTTTCATAATTTTTCATCACAATTGAAGTAGTTGCCAGCTGCTTTCAGTAATGAAAATTAATTGGCAGTAAGAATGAGTCCTGCTGTAACATAGGTTAAAATTTATTCTAGTAAAGAAAATTTTAGGCATGGTAAATTGTTAGACAAATGCTGAGTTATAGAAGAATACAAGTCACATCAGCATTGCTGGAACAATTCACAAACAGCACAAGCTTTAGAGAGGAAGCTAGATGAGATTTTGGTCCATTCTGAACAATTGTAAAGACACAAATGGACCAGTTATGACTTAATGGTTCAGGATGGATTGAAAAGTCATTTTTCTCTATAGTTTGGGTTACTTGTGAGCTAAATTACAGTTTATGCAGTAAGTCATCAGATGAGCGAGATGAGAACTGCTAAACATATGTGGCTTTAAAAAGAGAATCATTACTGGGAGAAATGTAGTCACTGTAATTCCTCTTTGACAGTTCAGATCTTATTGCCCAGTTTCCATTGTGATACCAAGGCCAGCTGACCTGTCTACCCAGTATTTATAAATACTACATGAAGTTTAATAAACTTTAATGCCAAATGTTATTTAGCAAAATTTTCTGAAGTTTAACCCTTTGACTGTTTCGGCCATATATATATGTCTTATGAGTCAGTGTTTCAGACGTATGTATACTCAATAATTTTCTTTTTGGGTCACCATGCCTTGGTGGGAGACGGCCGACTTGTTAAAAAAAAAAAAAAAAATCTAGCAGCTTCAAATCAAGCAGGAGAAAGCTGGTAGGCCCACATGTGAGAGAATGGGTCTGTGTGGTCAGTGTGCACTGTATAAAAAAAATCCTGCAGCACGCAGTGCATAATGAGAAAAAAAAAACTCCGACTGTGTATTTTGATTAAAACGCCAACGTTGAGGTGTATTTTTGTATAGTATTTATGGTTGTATTCTCATTTTCTTGGTTTCATTTGATATAATGGAAAACATATTACAGAAATAGAGATGATTTTGATTAGTTTCTTGATGGAAACGACTTCGAAATTGAGCTCAAAGTAGTGGAAATGATCGATTTTTACCAAACGTTCAAGAGTAAGCAAATCACATCACACATCCAGTACACATAAACTAAGGAGTCTTGTATTCTTTCACTAGTGCACTGATATTATATATACCATTTTTACAATAATGCAGTAGTCTGCATAACAGTAAATCTTCTGTTTTTTGTGTTTACCTGGAGAGAGTTCCGGGGGTCAACGCCCCCGCGGCCCGGTCTGTGACCGGGCCGCAAGAGTAATACAAGAGGGGCCTGGAGACGTGACTAATGAACAAAGGATATGTTATTTTAGTGCCGAGAATGTCTGCAATGTTTATTCTGGACCCTTATTTTGAAATTGGCATCTTCTTTAATTTGCATGAAATTGGTCAAATTGCCAATTTCTGATCACTTTATTGGGTAGTTCAAATTGGTAAATGGGCAATTTCTTGTACTCAATTGATAGACAAAATGGAGTTCTAAAGGAATAACCATGAGTTTGGTCGACTGGAACAAAGGAATTGGCTGAAAATAGGGCTCAAAGTCGGCAAAATCGCCAATGTGTATATATATCACCGAGATCGCTAACTTCGCGGGAGTGTAATTCTGTAAGTTTTCAATCAAATTTCGTGCTTTTGGTGTCATTACCATCGGGAAAGGGTTCTCTATCATTTCATAAGAATAAATCATTTTTTTTTTTTTTTTCCAAAAATTTTGCAACAGAGAATGAATTTCAGAAGTGAGCTTGCGACAGTCAAAGGGTTAAAATCTATTGCTTATACTGTAAGAACAGTTTCACTTAGGAACCAGAGGTACTTGCTAACTGCTATTCTGTTATACATGAGCTTCCAACAGCTGTATTTTACAGTAAAACTAACGTTTTCCTGAGCAAAAACTGGTGAAGGATGATGAGTAGTTAGTGACACTTGGCAAACTGATTGCTGTTGGCCTCTCGTGCATAATGTGTATTTCGTAAAGTCGCACTGTTTTAAATAGCTGGCTCAAGGTCAGAAGGGCAAGATCTATGATTGATGAATTTGCCAAGGAATTTCCTAAGTTGCTTAACCACCACTGATTATCACCAATATATGCAGAATGTAAATAATAAAAAAAAAAATCCTCTTTAGAGCCTGAAATAAAACCATATGGCATTTCACAATTTAATAAAAACTGTTCTGGCATCCCAGAAGCTGTGCTTTGCACCTCCAGTTCTTTTATTTTTAACATTGCTCTCAGCATCAAAATTTGCCTGTGTGGCAGGTCTCTTTAATTGACCTGCATGTAAATATCTGGATTCATGGATCTTTCTTGTGCTTGTACCTTGGGTGCCAAAATTACATGCAATGGGAACAAAAAATTATGACTATTAGATGCCAAACTTTTAGTCTTACAAATATATTCTTTTACGCTCTTCACATTTGTAACATACCATAGTGCAAGTTTATTGTGCATCTGGTTCATGTTCAAGTTTTATCAGTGGTTAATTTTTTTGATAAAAGGTATCACTGTTTTCTAAGGTCTGAACTTGTTTGCATTGCTTCACTGGTTCCAGTATTAGCATTTAGCCTATTGCATCCTGTCATACAGCTGGAGGAGTAACTGAAACTAAACTACACCTTCAGGAGTTTGTGGTAATTGTTGTGAGCCGTATATGGCAAGGTAGTAGGTCAGCATGTTGATGTGTGGGCTGTTGTGCAGTCCATGTGTTGGGTGAGGACTGAGGCATGTGTCGTTGCAGGTGCAATGTCCCCCGCGCCCTCCCGTCTGGCGCCTCTGCCTAGTCCTACGGGGCTCAGCCCTCGTCCTCGTCCAAAGTCCCTGTTTGTGCGGCTCAATAGTTTCCGCAAAGCCTCGCTTCTTAGCCTGTCCTCGACAGCGTCCAGTCCACAGTGCGAGGCTCCCGCATTTACCTTTGACGATTTGCTCAGGCTGCATAAACGTAAGGCTGTGCATCCTCCTCCTCTACACACTCGCACTTCAACCTCGGATCCCTCTCCATACTGATGCTAAAGATACTCACGCCTTGTCTTCTTTGTATTACATATTCATATTCTTACTAATGATAGAAAGCTAAACTCATCCACACCTTTTTTTTTCAACTTGGGTATTACATTACACTCTCACTATCTAAGCCTGTCTTAAAGTATTATCAAATGTTTAAACTTTAACAAATAACAGTCTTATTCCTCTTAACTGGTGCATGGTTTCTTGCTGTTTCCAGTATTCACAAATTTGCATCATCTGCTTTGTGCTTTACCCGCTCTGTACTTTTATGATTCTCATCACACCAATAGTATAACTGTTTAAATAAAATACTTGGCTCTTTTTTATATGCCAACTTTTTTTTCTAGATTTCTCTAGGCATATTTTTACCCTTTTTCCCACTTGATTTTTCTGAAACGTTGTTACATATTCTGCTATGGCCTCTCCCATTTCATTATCTTAATCTTGTGTTAAAGGCTAGTAACTACTATGTAATAAGTCTTATCTTTTGATAATTTTACCAGTTTCTTGAGAAATTTTCAGGCAGTGCCATACTTAGCTTACCAGTACATATACAGAAAATATATCAAAGGCAAATAGCTTAAACTGGATTAAAAATGGAATTAGTTCTTAAGTTTCCTTTGGTTATCCAATTAAAATCAACCCTCTTAAATTCATAATTCTGTACTTTAAATTAATTTTTTTTTCATTGGCTTCACTGAAGTGTCACCTGGAAGCAGGAAGTACAGTGCCTGCACTTTGAAGGCAGGATGGGGATGTTATGGCCTGTAGGGTCATCTGAACCCTGATGTCGGTGCCCTTTTGAAAAGATGACGATTGAATGAGTGGCAGTGAAAGTGTTTTCTTTGTCTGGTTGCCCTACCTCAGTGGGAGACAGCCAGAATTTTATAAAAGTAACCTGAAAATAATTTTGAATATTATTTGCCCCCTTTCATGTTTTTTAGTATTCATTTTTTATAGTTTGGTACATGCTCTCTAAATGGAAAACCAGGCAAAAGATTTTGTTGATATTGTTTTCACTGTTTTTTTTTTCCACACCCAAATCATTTTTCTTTGGAGACATTATTTTGCATGAATGTCACTATAAATGAGGTTAGAAGAGTATTTAAAGCTAGAGTATTGGTATTTAACACCCTACACCAAGTTTATTGTACCACTTCTTGAACTGTTCTGAAAACTTACATTTCTTCATTACAATTACACACATGCTTAATCTTCTGCTTGAAAATGCTTGCTAAGGTATTGCTTTACATGAGCTTCTCTTGCTTGCATTGCATATGCTAGTTAAACATAGAAAACTAAAATTGGAGTGTGATTTTTGGTAAGAAAGACAATTTTTAAGAGTATTTTTTTGAACCTCTATATTCAACAATTTTAGGAAAATTTTGGGATATGATCTGCTCTTGTAATTCATTACACTTACATGATTAGTATACAAACATTTAAACAAATCCTGTATAGAAACAGGATGTTATTTTTTTTTAACTTTCTTCAGTCTCTCTTCTGATCCTTTACCTTGTTTTTGTCTTCTGTTATGTCACCTCCATTTGTTCGGTAACTACATTATATTTGGACCCTGGACCTGAGTTTTGTTTATATTTGTAGTACCTGTGCCACTGTGCCGTATGCTTGCATGTGGTCCCTACACCCTTAATATGTTATTGCCATGTGCTTCTACTTGCTTCCAAGTGCCTAGATGCACTATCATTACTGTGCAATTTTTATTGGTCACTACATTTTTCCTGTGCTATTCACTTCGGTTTTTCTTTGCCAAGGTACTTGACTCTGTAAGTCTTCTTTATACTTTACCTCTGCCCAGTTTAAGTACTGTGTATGTGTGCTTCATTTCACATATCACAAATTTGGTCATGTAAATAGGATAGAGCTAGATAGGTTGAATAAAACTGTGTATAAGTCTGGGGTGAATGGAAGGTGGCTTACCGAATTTTCAGAGGAAGGTTGAAGTAGGGTATGAATTATTTTTTTTTAAGTAGAGGGTTGAGAATTCAGCAAGTGTGGTAAGTCAAAGTAGTCAAGTGTTGCCTTTAATTAAACATGCTGCTGAAGTGTGAGCTTGGTATTACTAGTTCTCTTAGGGAATTTTGTAGAATTCATTAGCCAGATTTATAAGTTCTGTAGGTCGGAAGTTTAGAGCCTCCATTTTGAAAGTCAAGGTGGGACTTTGTGGATCATTGGATCATAAAATTTGTGCACTTGTAGACAGCTAGGGAGTGAGTGATGTGAATGTTCATAAATAACCCGCACATTGGAAAAAAAACTTCGACTGTGTTTCGGTCTGACTTGGATCATTAACTAGTCAAACTGTGACTAGTTAATGGTCCAAGTCAGACCAAAATGTGGTCATAAAGTTTCTTTCTCCTATGTGCGGGTTATTTGTGAATTGTTCCAGTCACAGTATTCATGCCATTGTGTTCCTCTTGATGTGAATGTGTTTTCCCCTTTGCTGGGAAAGGGTTGAAGTGTTAAAAATTTAGTTTGTTTGGTGTATGAATCATCTATGTGTACAGACATTTGTCTTCTCTTCCTGTATCTGTCTTGTACTTCATACCTTCAGCTGTTCTCTGATATGTGGCAAACAGAAGCATATTTTGCCTAGTTTATATTCCATTTATACTTCATGTAACCTATTTGCTTAGTCTTATTTCCTGTGTGTATATATATATATATATATTATATATATATTATATATATATTATATATATATTATATATAATATATATATTATATATATATTTTATATATATATATATATATATATATATATATATATATATATATATAATCTCATTTATATTGTCAATGAACTTGTGCATTTGTGTGTGCCTTTCCTCTCAACTATTTGCCTGTAGATATTATTACCTAGATCTAACTACCTATGACTGTTTCTCACTAATTCTAGCAACTTTTAATTCACTATTTCATACAAATTTCTTCAACACTTACTTCATTTGCATTAAAGTTATTCATTATAGACACGAAGGTATTATTATGCTCAACCTAATAATATTGATTGTGAAAATTGTTAACTCACTTTCAGATATATTTACACTTAAGCACATTTATTTTCACTAAATATAAATTGAAAAATGCTTTTAGTTATTATCAAAAACTGCATTACTTCATTTTGACACTGTTCAGCCCGTCTCTAGTACTAATTTCTTTGGAAATTAGTTCTTTGGAAATCACTTCTGGCACAGTGAAAAGTAGTGTTTAGCATAAAACAGAGACTTTGCAAGGTGAGCTTTCACTGCACAGTAGTTTGCTCTCTTGAGTGAAACAACATTCAACTAGGCCTCGCTTTGCTAAGTCTCTCTTTGATCCCATTTGTTGGCAGTTCTCATGTTTCTAAAGAAAAAAAATACAAAACAGACATTAATATTGCTTTAGAGCTGTTGGTGCGAGTTTTGTGTACTAATATGTCCCAACTCGTATTTCTGTCTCATACACTGTCACTATTGTATGGTTGGGCTGAACAGTCTTGTGTGCTGTAAGAAATCATTAGACTGTTGAGGTAAAATATTAGAACTATTAATATCTAAATCCCAAGTTCCTAAGCAGCTTGTCATTTCATTTAAGGGAGTCTTCCTGTATTACAAAGTATTGTAGACTGTTTGTTTGTATTAGCTTCGGCAGTGTAAGATAAAGCCCCTATTGTAGTGTAAAGTAAAACGTAGTAGTTAAAGTGAAGCCTCGTGCCTATGTCTTGCTTATCATGGTTAAAGATGTCTACTGCCTTTATAAATTGACCTTCAGTATTTCTGCCATATTTATGTTTTATCACCGTATGAATGGTTATCCCATTGCCAACAGATGTTTACCATTGCCACCGTGATAATTGCTGTTGTGATTTTTAACCCCCACTAACTACATTATTCTATTTTGTACCACACTTGTTGTCATTACTAAGCTCTGCCCAATCTGTCTTCTGCCCCACTTAAATCAAGATAGCCTACCAACCACCATGGTTCTTAGCCAAAAACTACAATTCTTTTCTCAGTTCTGTTAGCATTACCTTAGCTACCACCATTACTCACTCGTGTTTTTCTAATACGGTGGTACCCCGATTTTCGGCCACCTCCCAACTCGAACAATCATGTAAGTGTATTATTGTAAGTGCGTTTGTAAGTGTATTTTTGGGGGTCTGAAATGGACTAATCTAATTTACATTATTCCTTATGGGAACAAATTTGTTCAGTAACGGCACTCGAGCAGCCTTCTGGAACGAATTATGGCCGAAATTCGGGGTTCCACTGTACCTCAATAACAGTGATTTCCTGTGCTGGATATCTTGTTCCATTCCTGCTACAGTTATTCAGCTCCATCTTCATGACCAAGCCCCATGATATCACTGCCACATCACAGTACCTTCATCATTAAATACTATATCCATTGCATTTTACAATATTTTTATCCTTTCATAGTGTTATTCCTACAGTACATACTGTAAATTCCAAATAATTTCCTACTGAAATTGTTATAGTACGGTGTTCTGCACCACACTACCATCAAAACACTCTTTGTTACCCTCCCTTTCACAAATGTGCTGTACCTCCTGTTTTTCTTTATCAAAAGAGGACACAGTGTACTTATTAGCATCACTATATCCTTGGTTTATCCGACTTATTACATCCTATCCTTGTCCCCATCATTATCACTACACATTGTGCATCAGTAGAAGGCGGCCTCTCTCTCTCTCCCCCCAAGATTTGTTGAAAGTGATAGGAGGTAATTTAACTCGTCCCTGGGTTTAAGGTACAGGTGGGTCAGTAGCAGCTACCAGCAGCGGCAGTCCACGTCGTAGCAGTCATAAGTGTCGCTCTCAGACAGCTAGCCCACGTGCTGACAGCAAAAAGATTTTGCGTCATTTGGTCACCCCTCCTGTTGGCCACCGTGCCGCAAGCTTTGATGAATTTCTCCACCTACGAACCCAAATTCCCAAGTGTAGTGTGGTGAGTGTTTTTGCTTCTATTCTACTTTCACTCGTACTGTATATAATGCACTCATGTCTTATCATTTGCTTTGTCTTGTGCCATTTATGTGTAATTGTGTAATGTGTAAACTTTCCTAGTTTTTTGAGTTTGTCAAAATCCTTTTGTCCTTACAGTTAACATATGTTTTCATTTCTCATTTTATTATGAAAGTAAAATTAATGGTAATTGTTAGACTATGGAAGATAAGGCATGTAGAGAGACCAACATTGCATACAAGAGAACAAGAATTGCACAGTCTGGGGAAAGTGGGTATAGTTTGGATTGTGAAAGGATTCTATCATTATCCTGAAAAGATATGGGATCTGTGTTCACAGTTAAGTGTGAATGCATTGATGATCTTGTCATTGTGATTGGAGCTTGTCCATATTTGTTGCCTAGGCACAATTTAAAAAAAAAAATAGCAATTAATATGCAATTTTTAAGTGAACTTTCATAAGTTCTGGCATTGTGAATGGCAGATATTTCTGCCAATATAATGACGGTATGAGTGATGGTGAAAGTGTTGAATGATAAAAGTTTTTTCTTTTTGGGTTGTTCTTTGTTTTTGGGTCACCCTGCCTCGGTGGGAAACGGCCAACATATTAAAAAAAAAATAGTATATCCTGCAAAGGAATCTGTATTTGTTTTTGAAAATTTGAAAGGTAGTGTATCTTTAATATATGAAAGAACAGCAAACTTGAAGAAAGTAAATGGTTTGGGCAGCTGTACGAACCGTCTCTTATATATGGTTTGAGTACTATATTGATATGTTGTTTTATTGCAAATTAGTTAAGAAATGAAGAGTCTACATTAAAGGCTGGACTGTGAGAGAGTAGGATAGACAAAGCAAGCATGCCAGGACTGCACCACAAATTACCTTTTTAGCTGATAGGAAATACAGTAGGAGAAATGATACCCACAAGGAAGGTCATGGAAAGGATACTAGAAAGTTTTTCTTGGGAGTGGTAGAACACTGGAATGGGATCAGTTAGAGGTAGTCAGTGAAAGCTGAGGAAAAAATATTACATTTTAGATTAAAAAAAATAATGGAACACCATAAACATAGATTTGGTTCTGTAGTTAATTTCATATTGGCTCTGATGCCCACATTTTGGCTTGTGCATCTAAATGCTTTTTTTTATACTGACCACTTGCATTGTGGCTCGTATATGCAGTAACTTGTGATGTAATGCAGTACACTGTAATATATCCATGCACTGGGTCACACCTTCATGTACATATAGTTTTTCACAAGGTCTCACATCCTAACCCACGAAGTTGTTTTGCTTCCTTATTCATTGAGCTTGGCAAATCTTGTGGGATTATGTCTGTCAAGTGCATGACAGCTGTTGAACAAAGCCAGGAATTATTATGTGATGATGGACAGCCTAATGCAACCATTGGGCCTCCCTGCTTCTTTCTGAATTGAAATTTGTAAGGTTTATTTTGGTAATGATACTATCAATGAATGTATTTTATAATTTGCATGAATACTTAATGTCATGAGGAATGGATGTTAGAAACAGTTCCTTTCAACTTTTCTTTTACCTTTACTACAGTAGGAAAATAAATGTATAGTATATGTATTTTAGGTCTGGGTAATGTTTACGTCGATATCATTTATCTGATGGAGATTGTTGAAAATTGTGTGACACCAAACTTCCTCAAACTAGGTGTCGGAGGAATATAATCATCTGCAGAACGTTGATAATAGGACTTCTTCCTCTGTGGTGGTAGTAAGTACTATAGTTTTAGTCATTATTTTCATTGCATAGAAGTCGGAAAAATTGCTTGCTTGCTTTCAAGAAGATGTGTATTAGACCCATTTCCATTTATTACAGTTTATAAATTGTTCTCGTTTCCTCTTTAGTTTTGCTCGAGTGAATGGAGTCTTGTCTCTCTCATGGTGAGATTTGCTAGTGCAGAATGGTTGGTTAATTTGTAAGTTGATGCATTTTCTTGTATTGATAACCAATGACAATGATGCCTGTGTTGATGCTGTTTTAGGTTTTGGCATGTAGAAAGTGCTGGCATAAAATAAACTTCTGTAGTTTTTTTACAGTAATAAAATTTCCTTCAGGTATAATGTGCTGATATAATACTGTGCAAGAGATTAAGTGCAATAGGTATTTGAGGGTGGCAGCAGAATCTTCTATACAAGTAATTTTTTTTTTTAAACACTTCAATCATCTGCCACCAAGGTAGAGTAACCAAAAAATGGTCAAAATCACCCAATAAATAGCTGCTTTGCCTGAAGTACACAGATATTACAATTCTGAACTGCGCCATCCCTACTTCAGAGTGCAGGCACTGTGATTCCCACCTCCAGGACTAAAGTCTGGCTAACTGGTTTTCTATACCCTTCATAAATGTTACCTTGTTCACACTTCAAGACATCAAGTCATTAAACACCTTTCTCCTCTCCAATCTAACATGATCATACAAGCTTGCAGGGTGCTCAAGCCCCTAGCACTCAAAACCTCTTTCATCATCACCCTCCAATCCTTCTTGGGATGACCTCTACCCATCCTTCTTTTCTGCCATATTTAAATATCCTTTTTGCCATCCTATCCTGGTTCATCCTATTCTATGTAAATGTCCATATCACCTCAAAATTACAAGAACAGTTGTGAAGGATATTCAAAATGAATTACCAATAGCATAATAATCACCACTGAAGAGAGCAGAAGTTGGAGAGATAGTGAAGGGTGGGAGGCAGTGAAAGAGGAGGATGGGGGTTGCTGTGGTGTCAGGCACCTGATAACTTGTACATACCTCAGTGCCAGTTTCTTCATTCTATGTGCCATGAAACACATCGTTATTTCCCTGTCATATATAGATAATGTGGTCATGGAGACAATTCAGATGTGTGGTAAAGTGTGATTCAATGTGTTTTAATTTTTTAACACTGCTGTCTCCCACCTAGGCAGCGTGGCCTGAACAAGAAGAAACAAAGTTTTTCTTCTTTTCATATACACATACAGTGCTAATCACGGCATTATGCCGCCCCTTCTCCACACACGTACCAAAACACAAACACATACCATGAAAGAGTATAATATATACATTTGCACACTTACTGAGATTTGAGGGTATGGGGAGGTATATTATTCCATGCCTTGTGTAGAGCAGCCTCCAGCTGTGGAATGGAACTGATATCCTTTCCCAGTAAACTTTGTTTCACTGTTGACCAAAGGTTCTCAATAGAGTTTAGGTCTGGGAATTGCCTGGCCAGTCAATAAAGGACCTCACTTCACAGTCCTTAAGCCACTGAACTACAGATTTGGCATTATGACACGGTGCACCGTCCTGCATAAAAACTGTAGCCCTACACTTGTCAAATGCCTGGAGACCTGGAGTTTACCTGGAGAGAGTTCCGGGGATCAATGCCCCCACAGCCCTGTCTGTGTCCAGGCCTCATAGTGGATCAGAGCCTGATCAACCAGGTTGTTACTGCTGGCTGCAGGCAATCCAACGTACGAGCCACAGCCCAGCTGGTCAGGTACCGACTTTAGGTGCTTGTCCAGTGCCAGCTTGAAGACTGCCAGGGGTCTATTAGTAATCCCCCTTATGTATGCTGGGAGGTAGTTGAACAGTCTCGGGCCCCTGACACTTGTTGTATTGTCTCTTAACGTGCTAGTGACACCCCTGCTTTTCATTGGGGGGATGTTGCATCGTCTGCCGAGTCTTTTGCTTTCGTTGTGAGTGATTTTCGTGTGCAAGTTTGGTACTAGTCCCTCTAGGATTTTTCAGGTGTATATAATCATGTATCTCTCCTGCCTGCATTCCAGGGAGTACAGGTTCAGGAACTTCAAGCACTCCCAGTAATTGAGGTGTTTTATCTTCGTTATGCGTGCCGTGAAGGTTCTCTGTACATTTTCTAGGTCAGCAATTTCACCTGCCTTGAAAGATGCTGTTAGTGTGCAGCAATATTCCAGCCTAGATAGAACAAGTGACCTGAAGAGTGTCTTCATGGGCTTGGCATCCCAAGTTTGAAGGGTCTCATTATCCATCCTGTCATTTTTCTAGCAGATGTGATTGATAGTGTTATGGTCCTTGAAGGTGAGATCCTCCGACATGATCACTCCCAGGTCTTTGATGTTGGTTTTTCGCTCTATTTTGTGGCTGGAATTTGTTTTGTACTCTGAAGTTTTAATTTCCTCATGTTTACCATATCGGAGTAATTGAAATTTCTCATCGTTGAACTTCATATTGTTTTCTGCAGCCCATTGAAAGATTTGGTTGATGTCCGCCTGGAGCCTTGCAGTGTCTGCAATGGCAGACACTGTGATGCAGATTCGGGTGTCATCTGCAGAGGAAGACACGGTGCTGTGGCTGACATCCTTGTCTGTCAGATATGAGGATGAGAAACAAAATGGGAGCGAGTACTGTGCCTTTTGGAACAGATCTTTTCACTGTAGCCGCCTCAGACTTTACTCTGTTGACTACTACTCTTTGTGTTCTGTTTGTGAGGAAATTATAGATCCATCTACCAACTTTTCCTGCAATTCCTTTAGCACACATTTTGTGCGCTATTACGCCATGGTCACACTTGTCGAAGGCTTTTGCAAAGTCTGTATATATTACATCTGCATTCTTTTTGTCTTCTAGTGCATCTAGGACCTTGTCGTAGTGATCCAGTAGCTGAGACAGACAGGAGCGACCTGCTCTAAACCCATGTTGCCCTGGGTTGTGTAATTGATGGGTATCTAGATGGGTGGCAATCTTGCTTCTTAGGAGCCATTCAAAGATTTTTATGATATGGGATGTTAGTGCTATCAGTCTGTAGTTCTTTGCTATTGCTTTACTGCCCCCTTTGTGGAGTGGGGCTATGTCTGTTGTTTTTAGTAACTGTGGGACGACCCCCGTGTCCATGCTCCCTCTCCATAGGATGGTAAAAGCTCGTGATAGGGGCTTCTTGCAGTTCTTGATGAACACGGAGTTCCACGAGTCTGGCCCTGGGGCAGAGTGCATGGGCATGTCATTTATCGCCTGTTTGAAGTCATTTGGCTTCAGGATAACATCAGATAGGCTTGTTTACCAAATTCTGTGGCTCTCATAAAAATTAATTTTGATCTTCGACTCTGTCTGGTTAGCGGCTTGCTAAAAACTGAGTCATGTTGGGACTTGAGTAGCTCACTCATTTCCTTGCTGTTATCTGTGTAGGCCCCATCTTGTTTAAGTAGGGGCCCAATACTGGATGTTGTTCTCGACTTTGATTTGGCATAAGAAAAGAAATACTTTGGGTTTCTTTTGATTTCATTTATGGCTTTTAGTTCTTCCCACGATTCCTGACTCCTAATAGATTCCTTTAGCTTAAGTTTGATGTTTGCTATTTCTCTGACCAGTGTCTCCCTACGCATTTCAGATATATTGTCTTCTTTTAGCCGCTCTGTTATTCTTTTCCGTCGCCTGTAAATGGAGCGCCTGTCTTTCTATTTTACATCTACTCCTCCTTTTTCTTAAAGGAATAAGGCTTGAGCATACATCGAATGCCACCGAGTTAATCTGTTCTAGACATAAGTTGGGGTCTGTGTTGCTTAGTCTATCTTCCCAGCTTATATTGTTTAGGACTTGGTTTACTTGGTCCCACTTTGTTATTGTTATTGAAGTTGAATTAGGTGAAGGCTCCCTCGTGACTAATCTCATTTTGTCGGTCTGGGGCTCCGCGCATACATGTCTGAACCTCGAGTATGTTGTGATCTGAGTATATTGTTTTTGATGTGGTGACATTTCGTATCAGATCATCATTGTTAGTGAAGATGAGGTCTAGTGTATTCTCCAGTCTAGTAGGCTCTATTATTTGCTGGTTTAAGTTGAATTTTGTGCAGAGATTTAAAAGCTCGTGTGTGTGTGAGTTCTTGTCAGAGCTGCCTCAGGTAAATTGTCACACAATAGCTCCAGGTAATTATACTGGTTCATATACTGGTTTTTGGGAAGCACAATGGTTCACCAACACTCTGAGCACTGAAAAACCCCCAAACCATGAGTGAGTCTGGATGTTTGGTGGTCCCACAGGTGTAGCGTGGGTCTAGTGGGTCACTACCTCTGGGTCGGTACACATGTCCCCCATGGTTACAGGTGATGGTGAAGGTTGCTTCATCACTCCAAAGTACTTGAGGATTCCAGTGAAGATGTTTCTTTGCATAATCCAGCCTACGTTTCTTCTCTGGCTTGGAGAGGATCAGTTTCTTAATCTGGCTGTGACTACTGTGGCCCAGTTCTGACACATGTCTGTTAACAGTTCTTAGACACCTGAGAGAAGATGTGGATTCTTTTCTTTCAATTCTCTAGCAGTTATCTTAGGTGTACTCTCTAACTGCTTCTCTAACACAGTTAAGGTACAAACAGATGTCTTCTTCGAGGGGCCAGGCTGAGGTTTGGCAGACGGTAACTCAACACTGCCACCAGCCTTGAAATGCTGCACCCAGTTCCTCACTGAACACTCACACACACCAACATTCTCCACTGTTTCTTTCGTCTGGTGCCCAGCTTTGTGAAGCCCTATGATTTGAGCTATAGTTTCAAATGTTACTTTCTTTTACCCATAATCAAACATGTATAGCCCCAAAACCAAAGGGAACACCGGACAAAAGATGGGGTGGATGAGAGACAAAGGTGCAACACTTCCTCTTACCATGGCAACCACGTGAGCACTGAGGAGTCACTGTGGAGTGTGGTGGCAGGCCATGACATTGTGCTAATGGCTGCTACTGGGCATAATGCACTGATGAAAAAATATTTCCCTGTATGGTAGGCCTTTGATTTTCATCATGGCAATATGCTGGGGCGCTCACCCTGCATAATGCTGTGCTAACACTGTAGTATTTTATGCAGGAAAAGGGGTTACTTGTCCCAAGTACGTATGTTTTGACTGTTTGAATTTAGGCTCTATTTGAATTTAACCCTTTGACTGTCGCGGCCGTATATATACGTCTTACGAGGTACCGTGTTTGACGTATATATACTCATAAATTCTAGCGGCTTCAAATCAAGCAGGAGAAAGCTGGTAGGCCCACATGTGAGAGAATGGGTCTGTGTGGTCAGTGTGCACCATTTAAAAAAAATCCTGGAGCACGCAGTGCATAATGAGAAAAAAAAACTCCGATCGTTTTTTTAATTAAAATGCCGACTTTGTGGTCTATTTTTGTATAGTATTTATGGATTGTATTCTCGTTTTCTTGGTCTTGTTTGATAGAATGGAAAATATATTATAGAAATAGAGGTGATTTTGATTGATTTTACTATAAAAAGAACCTGGAAATGGAGCACAAAGTACGGGAAATGTTTGATTTTTGCCGATGTTCAAAAGTAAACAAATGATGTCATTGTCCAATAAATGTCCAAATACCATTCTAATATGTAGTCATGAATGGGTTGATGTAATTTTTACAGTTATTACAGTATTGCAGTAGTCTGCATAACAGTAAATCTTCTATTTTTTGTTTGAATAAAATTTCAAAATAAAAAGCAAGAGTAATATCAGAGGGGATGGAGATGTGACTGATGAACAAAGAAAATGTAATTTTAGAGCCAGGAATGTCTGCATTGTTCATTCTGGTCCTTATTTTGAAATTGTCATATATTTTAATTTTTGTGAAATTGGCCAAATTGCAAATTTCTGACCATGTTATTAGGTAGTTGAAATCGGTAAATGGGCAGTTTCTTGTACTCAATCAATAGAAAAAATGGAGTTCTGAAGAAATAGCTATGAGTTTGGTTGACTGGAATAATGGAATTAGCCGAAAATAGAGCTCAAAATGGACGAAATCGCCGATTTGTAAATATCGCCGAGGTCGCTAACTTTGTGAGAGCGTAATTCCGTCAGTTTTCCATCAAATTTCGTTTTTTGGTGTTTTTACAATTGGGAAAAGATTCTCTATCATTTCATAAGAAAAAATAATTTTTTTTTTTTCGAAATTTTGCGACACCAGGAGACACCTCAGGATTGGGGGTTGCGACAGTCAAGGGGTTAAGCTGCTGGCCTTGATTATATAGATTGTGCACTCACCACGTCACTTTTGCAAGTCTCTACCCAGCCTTACCCCACCCCACCTGAATCACCCTGAATCTCTTTCAGTCCTCCTTAAACCAAGCAAATTATGACATCCCACCTGGTTATCAGTTTTTAGTGAAATTGCTAAATATTAGGGAAATGGTTATAGTTAAAATTTTCAGTGTTATAGAGTAGTAAGTTTTATTGTGGTATTATATAAAAAAAATAAAAAATTTTATAACCATTTGTTTTGATATGAACATAATAAAATATTCAGAAGAAACAGTATAGCACAAAGCTTTCCAGTTTTTTTTTTAAGTAATTTAAAACGTTTTAGGCTGCATAATAATTAAAACTACTGCATCATGGTTTGATGGCAGAGATGGGGGCAAAACGAGTAATAAAGCACAACAAGACTTTCAGAGTTTTATCCTCAAGAAGAACTTTATAAAGTTAAACCAAGAAACTAATTAAACGTTCGCTAAATAACTCCTTGAGCAGAAGTGTTTCCTCATACTGCTCATTAGTGAGCATGAAAATTAAAACCAACAAATAACAAATAGTAACTTTAAAAGAACTTCAAGTATTGTTGACAATACTGGTACTGACCTTGTCTTTCAGTTGATTAGTTTGCCTGAAATACATTGCATACTAATGGCTTTCTTTTGTGTTTAAGTGTTTTATTACATGTAAACTGCATTATTTTTCTTCTACATAAAAATAAATTTGAATTTGAAGGTTGGTTTAAAGGTAATGTGAGTAAAAAGAGCAGGAGGGTTACTCATACAGTAGTGTCATAGTTGTAAGTGACAGTTTTCATGGTGTGGGTTACTTAAGGTGAATTATCTTAATACTGTATATGTTTTTAGCCATCACCTTTGTTCTTTAGATTCTTGGTGTATAGTGTAGAAATTAGTTATGCCTTCAATTTGAAAGGATGAACCATATGTCTTTAGTGCAGTATACCTTCCTTTAACAACTTTAAAAATATTTTGTTGATTATATTCTCTTAATTACTGTAATATAATCATTTATGCATCTCATCTGTAACATAGCTTACTACTATTTTTTTAAAACTCGTGTACATATAAAATTAAGTTTTTGTGCATGTATTTCATCTTTTGTATACTGGCAATGTAAATTATTTTTAATTATATACATTTCTCTAAGTACTGTTTGCATTTAATAGGGGTCTCATTAAAAGTCTAACTTAGTTTTTCTTGCATGCAGTCTTTTTATATATCATGTCCTAAAATTTACTACCATAATATTTTCTGTGGTTACTTGGCTTTGTTGTCATTTATTGAAGAATCTTTTACTCTCTTAATTTAATGTGACATCTATATACATATAATCAAATTTTTGCTTTGTGTTAGCATTCTTACTCTCGTTATCATTCATTTGCTGAGTGTGGGTAATTTTTTCAGGAACGTACTCGCAGTGCTGACATAGCCACAGAGCTTCTCCGTAGTGATGTTGGTGATGAGTGCATTCCTGAGGGGCTTATTCGGGAAACCTCTCTCATTTCTCTTGCACCTTCACCCTCCAAACAGGACAAAAGAGTCACATTTGCCAAGCTTTTGGACAAAATGTCCAAAGAGATGAGTTCTTCTTCTTCAGACATGAGCTGCAATGAAGAAAAGTCACCCAGTAGAATATTTAATTTTGGTGGTGCACGACGGTCCCCAAGAAGATCTCCAAGAATACGACATACACAGAGGTACAAGTGCTTGTTGCCTGCCAATGATTATTCATGTCACATTCGAATTTTTATCATCCTGTGAGCCCTGGACACACTTTTGACTGTGTTAACATTTGTATAAATTTTGATTCCCATTTTTGAGTCCTAGCTATTTTGATATTCTTAGTTTTCTTGTTACTCCTAACTTCCCTATATACCCTCTCAATTCTTCATGAAAGTGCCTGGCTCATTGGTTAAATTTCAGATTCCCAGAATTACATATATCTGCAGTTAAGTATGTGACATAAACCGTCCTCTGTATTATTGATATCTGTAGGTAAATAGGATTTCAATCCTTCATGACAGTTTCTTCCTAATACTGGAATATCAAGAATATAACTTGTAGTTATGCTGCATATCCCTTGTATAAGCTTTGACTATGTTTGAATGTTATTTCTTCTTGAGTATCCATCTCTTCTGTCAAGTTTGTGAGGTGGTGTTTACTGAAAGCACTGTTAGCTTCTAGCAGGTGGTCTTTACTGAAGCTTTGTCAGTTTCTAGCAGGTGGTTATTGCTGAAAGCTCTGACATCTTGCAAGTGCTGACACACTACTGAAAGCTCTGTCAGCTTCTTGCAAGCTCTGACTTTTATTGAGAGTTCTGATGGCTTCTTGTACACTCTGAGCCTTTATTTAGAGTGGCAGCATCTGAGGTCCTCATCAACAGACTTACTGAAGAGGCCTCAGCAGCTTAAATACATAGCCCTAATTATTCCTTGTTTTCTTTGTCTCCAGCTGGGTTTCTTTGTGTCCATTAGCAAGTGTTCATTACACTACTGACATTACACCTTAGTTTACACTTGATTTTTAACAGGCTAATATTGTATATGACATGAATTATAATTAACAGAAGGTTTTTAAATGATTAAAAAGAGATAAATGATATAATGTAAATGCTGTTTTTGATGAAAATGACAGCTAATAGGAATTGCATAAAATATTTAATATTTTACGTGGACTGGCTGTCTCTCACTGAGGTAGGGTGACTTCAGAAAAGTAAACATGCTCACCATCTTTCATTCATCAGCACTATATAATAACATTAATGTATAGTTAAAAAAAATGAAGGTTGCAAATAAATAGTAAAATAGTGAAAGTCAAAACGAATTAGGTTGGGTTACAGTTTTAAGAAACGAGTTACAGAACAAATATTTATTGAGATGACAGTTTGTGAGCAAGGTAACATATATGAGAGGATTCAGGCAAACTAGTTAGCTGTACTTGAGCCCTGGAGGTAAGAAGGGCAGTGCCTACACTCTGAAATAGGAGTGGGGATGTCGCAGTTGCAGGATAATCCAATTGTGATGTCAGGACATTTCTGAAGACTGAATGAATAATGGTGAATGTATCTCCTTTGGATCACCCTGCCTTGGTGGGAGACAGCTGTCAAGTTAAAACAAACAATATGTCTTACTCGTTTGACTTGACTTTTGGATCAAGATCTGTGTTTTATATCTGGACCACTGCTTGTTTAGCTGTAAACATTGCCATATTTTTTTAATCTTTTAAGTAGGTCATTGCTTTTGTGGTTCCAAACCATAGCTAAGTTTTTTTTTTTTTTTTGACACTTTCTTGAGTTTAGAATGGTGTATTACTTACATTCCTGTCATGAATGATCAACTTTGCTGTTAAGTTGAATTAAGTTAGATTTTTGTTCTTTTAGATACAGTGGATCTGGAAGTGAGGATGTGATGGAAACACCTGACGTCTCATCATCCGAGATGACGCCTGATCCCCCAAAGAGACTCCTCACAGTGAAGAGCTCATCGTCTCCCTCCTCCAAAACATCATCACCACAGAGTCGCACTAAAATGGTTAAAATATCCTCTGCTGATTCCTTATTAGCGATGATAAAAAATTTTGGTAAGTTAGCTTTAGTGTTGAGATATATTCTTCATGTGGGTTCATTTGAACCATTAGCTATTTATTGAAGTTTTGTATTTAGATATAATTAATCTATTGGCAATGTTTTGCAATGTTCAGGTGGATCTGGCCGTCCTTCCTCCAACCCATCTAGTCCTCATGGCTCTGAATTTGATGATTCTTCAACCCATGCATCACCCTCCACCACACCCACCACACCACAGAAAACACCACCACAGTGCAAGCAAGACACACTTACTGTTCCTGGGACATTGCAGGTGCAGGTAATAACACTTGCATGTTATTTCTTTTAAGGTATTGTAATCAGATTTTTCAAATTAGTTTTCCCCAAGTCATTTTACTGTAAATTTTCCTTTTTGTAGTTTTTCTGTCTGAACAGTATCTGAATGGGTGACCACACCTATGTGTGGTCTTTATTTTTTTAAATTGCTTAATACCTGTAAAACAAAAATCTTTGAAGTTTCTGGCATCCTCCATTAAATGAAATATTTTAAAAGAAAACATTTTTACAATTAAATATTTTGCTCGGCCACCCAAGTATATATTATCTCGCCAAATCAGTTTCAAAAATTCTTTGACGCTTCAAAGTCCATTATTTATTTATTTATCAAAAGGTCAAAAAAAAAAGGGTAAAATTTGCTGCAGTATAGTTCTACAGGTGCGCCAAATTTGTAAGGCTTCTAAGGTTTTTTCAGTGAATTGGCCATATTCCATCGAGGCAGGGTGGCCTAAAAAAGAAAACCTAAAGTTTTTCTTTAGTAATTTATACAGAAGGGGGTTACTAGCCCCTTGCTCCTGGCGTTTTAGTCACCTCCTATAACACACACAGCTTATGGAGGAAGAATTCTTTTTCACTTCCCAATGGAGATGAGAGGAAATAAAGAACAGGAACTAGTAAGAAAATAGAAGAAAACCCAGATGTGTGTGTAAATGTATATATGCATGTACAAGCATGTGTAGTGTCACCTAAGTGTAAGTAGAAGTAGCAACATATACCTGTTATCCTATGTGTTTGAGGCAGGAGAAAGACACCAGCAATCCTACCATCATGTTAAACAGTTACAGATTTTTGTTTCGCATTCACTTGGTAAGATGGTAGTACCTCCACAGGTGGTTGCAGACTACCAACTTACACATAGCCTCCTGTATATATGTACATAATGGATTGTGAATACAGAATGGGAGTTAAATGCGCTGAAAAGTGGTGCTGCAGTTTTCACTTCCTAATTACATAAAAACAATAATGATAATACACAAGGGTATGTACTAGCACACAGAGGTGTACAATGTGTATACTGTATATGTTTAGAATTAAAGTATTCTTGATTGTTAATGTACAGGTGATAAAAGATTATTTTGATTACTAACCCTGAGGATTAGCAACCCAGGATAATACAGTAAAGTTAATTAATGTAGCTTATTTCCAATAGGGCTGTTTGTTTAGCTCCTGTGCCAGAATGTGACCCAGTACAGTTTACTCACATTCAGATATTTATTAAATGCTAGGTAACAGGGACAGTAAGCATTAGAGTAGCCCATATGTCCTACCTCAGAGGAGTTTGACCCTAAATGCTCACTTGGGTGTGAGTAAAGCATGTTAACCACTGCTAGCTACTTGTTATTCACATACAGTCAATAGGCTTTAAACCTGAAAAAAAGACCTATGGTTATGATCATAACTCTGTATATGAACTTTGCTTTACTCGTTAAGATAGTTACTGCAATAGCTGTAAAGATTATTTTTTTTTTTTTTTTTTTTTTTGTAATTTTATTACAAATTTATTTATACACTAAAGTTTATGTATGAGTGAGGTGAAAGTGTTGAATGATGATGAAAGTATTTTTCTTTTTGGGTCATCCTGCCTCGGTGGGAGATGACCGATGTGTTAGAAAAAAAAAAATGTATAAATTATATGGGAGCAATGGGCTAGTAACCCCTTCTCCTGTATAAATTACTAAATGTAAAAAGAAGAAAAACTTTATAAAGTTCTCTTCTTAATTGGGTCACTCTGCCTTGGTGGGAAATGGCTAGTATACTAAAAAAGAAAGTATAAATTGTATATTTGTGTTTTACAGGTTCAGTCTGCAGGTGGGTCTACTCAAAATTCTGGGCCTGTCATCACCCTGGAAGTGCCCAATAATGATCAACATCGTTGTCTGTCGCCTATTACGGAGCTGCCCACACCAGTGCCTACACCTGTTCCTTCACCACTACCCACACCATGCAGGTACCGACCTAAGCCACGCACAAGTTCAGAATCTAATGACAACAAGGATAGTGAAGATACTGAATCAGAATTTTCTCTCTCTATATCTGTGGAGCGCAGTAGTTCTGACAGCTCTGGTCCGGATCACCGTATCTTTTTCACTTCCTTGAAGAGCTTGCACAGTCTTGCCAATGCTAGTGCAAGGTCAGAGACTCTCTCTCCCACTGGTGCCACTGTTACACCCTCTTCTTCTCTTTCATCCAGGACTCCTTCTCCGGTAACATCACCCAATATTTCACCTGCAACTTCACCTAAAGTTAAAACAAAGCCTCCGCCATTACACATTCCAAATGCCAATTTACTTCACTTCAGTCCTGAAAAGGGTGAAAGCTCTTCTGATGGTGCCTGTGGAGGTATTACCATACCTGTTCCTATGATCAAGGTGGAGGACACTGATAATGTGCAGTGGGACTCTGCACCACGAACACGCTCGCAGAGTGTTGATGTAGGAAGAATCTTGCAGGCTCCTATCATTACAATCTCCTCTGCTGACGATGATCCTCAGTCACCGCCACTGCCACAGCCTCTTATAATACCAACACTTAATGTTACATTAGCTTCACCCCCAGCATTGAGAAAGCAGTATCCACCTGTACCTACCATTAGCATTGAGGCACCTCAGCCCTCCAAACCTCCGGTTCCTCCTCCAAGGCGATATCCGCTACAACGAGAGAAAGCTGGATCGTTGGATCTACAGCCAACTCCTACCATAACAGTTACCAACATGCTCAGTGAAGTTGAGTCTGACACAGACTCTCCCACAAGTGGGTGCCGGAGAGATGGACCTTCTTCTTGCTACCTCAGTCCCTTTCTAGGGGTTGATCTAAGAGCATCTGAATCTAATCTTAGCTCATCAGGATATAGTTCTGCATACTCACCAGGACCTTCACGGTGCTCGTCTAATAATCCACTGTGTCCTGAGGAACCAACAACTCCCTCCGTGTCATCAATACCTTCCCGGCCCTTACAAATCCCCAGTCCTCCACCTGCTATAACTCCTCCAAATAGATCAAAACGCCGACCTCTGCTCAAATCGCCACCAACAGAAATCGCACCCATATCTACTCCCTCCCCGCTTCTCCAAACTGACTCTGAAACCACGGATGATCCTGCTGCTTCCCAACCAGAAGCTGATTCTGCTCTGGAGCTGGATACTAATGACGAGTGTAGTGATGGTGTAATGCAGAGAAATGAAGTGCAAAAGACTGGCTGTATGGATGAAGGAGAAGCACAGCGGCAGAGGCTGCTGCTCTCCACTAGCCATTCTTTTCCTAAAGAGTCGCCTCGCTTAACAAGATCTCCACCAGCTATTGTGGTCCATGGCTCGCTGCATAGTGAGTCATCTTTAGAAGACTGTCTAAATGAAAAACCTGCCAGATTAAGTCCAGTCAGTTCCCGTAGCGAATCTCCCATCAGTGACTCTCGTCTTAGTGTAGCAAGGATATATCCAGCTTTTTTTGGTGTCAGTGGAAAACCTGAGTTACCATACACTGACTCTGATGGTCTCTATGACTGCCCATCCTCAGAGGTTCTTCATTCAGATTCCCATGCTACAACTTCCCCACTCAAACGCCTCGGTCGGAAGCGACTAAAGCGATCTCCAGGAAAGGGGCTTAAGTCTTTGTTAGGCATAGGAAATGTTAGACCCACCGAGGGAATTACTGGAGGTGGGGTTACAGGGCAAAATGAAGGAGTCAAGAGTCGCCTTGAGCCACCTCACTGGGATCGATCACCACGTCGGCATTCGCCCAAGAGACGTGTTAGAGCACAAACCAGTGTTGATCTTCTGTCATCGTCTAATGACAGCATCACTTCACAAAGGTATGTTGACTTCAGACTAGCCTGTAATCATCCTCTGAAGCATGAAAGTAGTTTACATGATTCATAAGTTAATGCACAGTTATTTGTAATGCAACTACCGTACTCACAATGTATTGTTATCAGTGGATTATAACGAGTAGATAACACACAAAATTCAATTAAATTCTTAAATAAAGCGTGTATCATGTGTCAAGGGCCATTAATCAGCCAACAAAAGGCTTCAGCTTTGCATTCTATTTTATGCATGTTCATTTATTTTTTCTTATAGGCCTACAGTATTGTAATAAGCTTGAGTTCAGTGTTTTTAGTTTACACTTCATTTATTGACTTTATACACTGTTTTATAAAATATAATGGTAAGCAAGCAAGAATTATAACTAATGTCAAATCTCATCTGGATACTTTATTTTACAGTTCTCTTTATAAATAATAAAATTCACAGAATAATAGAATAGAATGGATTAGATGAAGAGGTAACAAATACTACAATCATTAGAATTGTAACAATATATAAATTAATTACTAACAAGAAACAACATGAGCATAGCTCTATTCTTATAGCTACATATAGGTAATTATTTTGTTATAATTGTGAGACTTAAGACACTTAAGTCTTTGTAATTCTTGATTGTTATTGCTTACTAAATACCTAAGTTTCTCCTCTATCCCTATGGTTCCCAGATTTTAGTTTTTAGAACTATATGAAGTCTTTGGTTACTTGAGCATGGCCTTATTTAATCCCTTCTCACCTTGTGACATCACTGCTCTCTGGACCAATCAGAACTCTTCGTGCAGCCACTTGAGCCTTCACTACCACAGCAAATATACTCTGTAAGTTTGTGTTGTCGTAGAAGTGTTAAATATATTCATGTAAGCATTTTTATTTTTTGTTTTTAGTGAAATGTTAAGATGCATTTTCTATAGCTACATTTTTGTCTGGTGGTTTTTTTTTTTTTTTTAATTCTAGAAAGTGTTATTAAGGTTCAGTAGTATAGCTATTGCAGTGTTTACTTGGGCTATATGAACATGCCTGCGTAAGAGGCACAATTCACTGCATTTTGATCATGGCAACACAGCTGCTTGGGACTTCATTTTTAAAATATGAAATGTTTATCCAAATTTTGTAATTGTGTTCTAGGGTAAAATTATGTATGTAATTGGATAAAATATTTCACAACACAATGTGTGTACTATATTATACAATGTGCACTTGTTAGCTATTTTGCTTAATTCAGCTTTTAAATAAGAATCTGAAAGTTTTGAGTGTGTAGGTCTAAAAGTTTAAAGTGTTCCAAATACAGCTCATATTCTTCAAGATGCATAAATTTCGAGTAATTGGTTAGCTATACAGTTGCCTCAGTATGTGTACAACGGGAAAGTGCATTAGGACGTAACTTCAGTAACATGTATGAAATGCGACTCAGGTGTAGTGAAAAGATACGTCTTGGCCACTCACACCCATGATAATGGTAGCAGTAGCATTAGTGGTTACCAGAGGTGCAGCTATTGTTCCTAAGCATGGGAAAACTGAGGACCCTGTCATTGTAGCCCAGTGGGCAGCAGCTCCAGCCCAGGCGAGAATGAAGAGGCACCGTCACATGAGGATGAGCGCTTACGTGATGGCAGTTCTGTAGGAGGCCGTGGTGGCCGCCGCAGACGGCCGCTTCTTAGAGGGGAGTCCATTCCCTCCAAGTACTTGACTCGTCAAGGCTCTGTGGATGCATCTGGCGAGGAAACTCAGGAGGTTAGTGCAACTCAGAGGTGACATTTTTGACTGATTTTGTCATGGTCAGAAAATGGAGGCTGTAACACCACATCTCTGAAATACAGATTTTCTATTTTCAAAATCACAACATGAAATACCTAAACAAGTCTGTTTATTGTGTGATTTATTATCTGGCAGCTAATGGCAAGTAACACTTAACAGATATATTAAGGACTCTAGAGCACCATTCAAGCCTCACACTCTTTGGGTAAACATTGGCTACTGTGTAAGCATATATTTAACATATTGCGTATATTTGTACCATTCACAAGAGGCCCTCAACCTATGACTGAGTTGTATTCATTGTGTTTCAACTAACAAACAGGTTGTGTTCTTGGCATTTTAATTTATAAGTGAATAGTTTACATAGAAAAGAATAGGACAAAGAATGGTTGTTTCATACATGCTCATACAGTGGCAGGTTTAGTAAAACTTTAATTGGTCCCTTTGTGCTTCAGTTTAGTCTGTGTGTGTTGTGTGTGTGTGTTGTGTGTGTGTGTGTGTGTTTTATATTATATATATAAATTATATATTTATATATTATATATATATTATATAATATATATATATATGGATGTTGTGCAGATGATAGAAGAGATGATTGTGGATGTTATGAATGAGAGAAGCTGGATGTCCTGGCTTTAGTGAAACAAAGCTGAAGAGGGTGGGGAGAGTTTCAGTGGAGAGGAATAAATGGGATTAGGTCAGGGGTTTCAAATAGAGTTAGAGCTAAAGAAGGAGTAGCAATAATGTTGAAGATAAGCTTTGGCAGGAAAAGAGGGACTATAAATGTATTAATTCAAGGATTATGTGGAGGTAAAATAAAGATTGGATGTGATAAGTGGGTTATAATACGCTGTATGCACCTGGAGAAGGAGAAGTGTAGAGGAGAGAGGATTTTGGAATGTTGAGTGAATGCGTGGGGAGTTTAATCAAGTGTGAGAGTAATGGTGGTTGGGGATTTTAATGCTAAAGTGCGGTAAAATGTTATGGAGGGAAATAGTAGGTAAATTTGGGGGTGCCCGGGTAATGTTTAATGGGGAAACCTTTAATTGAGCTATGTGTAGAAAGAAATTGGTAATAAGTAATACATATTTTATGAAAAAGAGGATAAATAAATATACAAGGTTGATGTAGCACGTAATGAAAGTTTGTTTATTAGATTATGTATTGGTGGATAAAAGGTTGATGAGTAGGCTCCAGGATGTTACATGTTTATGAGGGGCAACTGATTATCGGATCATTATTTAGTTGTAGCTACAGTTTAGAGTAAGAGGTAGATGGGAAAAGGGAAGGTGGCAACAAGAAGTAAGAGGGAGGTGAAAGTGTTATAAACTAAGGGAGGAGGAAGTTCGGGTGAGATATAAGCGTTTTTGGCAGAAAGGTGGGCTAGTGCAAAGATGAGTAGTGGGGGGGTTGAAGAGGGTTGGAATAGTTTTAAAAATGCAGTATTAGAATGTGGGGCAGAAGTTTGTGGTTATGGAGGGTGGGGGCAGGAGGGGAAAAGGGAGTGATTTTTATTTAACCCAAAAAAGAAAGAAAATCCCCAAAAAAAAAATATTTTCCACTTCATTCAACATTTTTCACCACACTCAAAACCTTATCACTGCTTTTGCAGGGGTTGCCAGAATAAAAAAATTTTAAAAGCATTACGAAAAAAGTACACAACATACCCCCCCCAAACTGCCAATACCCAAACCCCTCCTTTAAAGGGGAAAGGAAATTGTATTTCCCCATTTCCGGGACTCAAGTCTGACTATATGAACATAACCCTTTTTCCCTGAATCCCTTCACTAAAATTACCCTGCTCAAAACTCCAAAAAAACGCCCGGGTTTTCCCCAATATTTTCGTCTCCATTCACTCCTATCTAACACGCTCATGCCCCTTGCTGAATTCCAACCCCCTTTCCCCAAAAAAACCCTCCTTTACCCCCCTTTTCCCAAACCCCTTTCGGGGACGACCCCAAACCCCCCCTTTCCTTCCCCTTTTAGATTTAAATGCTTTCCTGTCTTTCTACTTCGATCCTTTCCTCTCTAAATGACCAAACACCCCTAAACAACCCCCCCTTCGGGCCCTCTGATTTAATGCTTTTTTTAACCCCACACCCCAAATTTCCCCCAAACCCTTCCAAATTTTTCTGCATAAAAATTTACCCCAAACAAAAGCCCTTAGAAAAGGAAAACCCCAAAAGCCTCCAACCGTCTCCTCGCTGCGCTTTTAACCCCCCCCAAGCTTCACCAAACCATAAAAGAGTTTTTTGTACTACTAAACTTTCATACTTTCCCCCTTCTTTCCCCCCAAGAAAACGTTTTTTGACTCCCAAAACCCTCCCCGGGGGCACCACCCCCTTTTTTTTCCCTCATCAATTCTATGTTTAACCCACCTTCATAAACCCATCCCCCCCGACACGGCCCAACCCCCCAAGAATCAAAAAAAATATTCACTTCTTCCATACTCCTCCCCCCCTTTTTGATATCCAATTTTTCTTTATCTAAACCCTTTGATCCCCTCATCCCCTACTTTTTTCCCCATGTTCACTTTCAATTTTCCCCTTTTACACACATTCTCAAACTCATTCCCACAAATTTTTGAAATTTTTTTCTTTAAAAATCTCCCATAAGCACATTTTCATCAAAAAAAAATAATTGTCATTCCCCTTTTGAATTTTTATTCCCCATAATTTAAATCCCACCCCCCTCCCGACAGTGCCTCTCCCCCCTCTTTCATCTGCTCTCCCCTTTTTTTCTCTCCCCACCACTCCTTCACCTTTCCCTTTTTCTCTCCATATACTCTGCTCTTCTTAAAAAACACTTCTGCTTTGTAAAAACCTCTCATAACTCCTTTTTTACCTTTTATCACAACCCCCTTTTCTTCATATTCCACCAAACAAATCCCCTTTCCTCCTTTCCCCCACCCTACTAAAACCACAAAATTCTCCCCCCATTCCCAATACTTTCATTTTTAAAAAAATATTCCAACCCTCCCTTTAACCCCCCCACAACTCATCTTGCACTAAACCCACCTTTCTGCCAATAGTTGCTTATATGTCGCCCGAACTTCCTCCTCCCCTTTAAATTTTAACTTAACCCCCCCTTCGGGTTTTTCCCACCCCTTTTCCCCTCCCATCTAACGGCCCCTTAAAAAATTTCCTTTTTAAAAATTTTCCCCTCTAAAACATGACACCTGGGTTTAACCTTTTTCCCCAAATACAAAATCTAAAAAAAACCCTTTCTTTGGAATCAATTTTAAAAATTTTTTTTTCAAAAAAATTTTTTTTTCCCCAAATTTTCTTCAAACAAAAATTTCATTTTACCCTTCCCCCCCCAATTTTCCCACACCCCCCCCCTTTTTCCCCATTTCTGAAATCCCCACCTTACCCCACACGAAAAACCCCCCTTTCACCAACTTTTCCCAAATTTACATCTCCTTTCTCCGGGTCTCCGTTTACTTAACCTTTTTTCACACCAAATTTTACCCCAATTTTAAAATACTTTATACCCCCCTTTTTCCGCCAAGTTTCCTTCAACATATTCTATCCCCCTCTCTTTTCCCCAAACCCCCATTTTTTCCCCTTTTTTAAAACTTCTCCCCCCCAAATTTTTTTTATTAAAAAACCCCCACTTTTTCCTTTAATTTCCCAACATCTTTTTTTATCCTCAAACTCCCTTTTTTTTTAAAAAAAAAATTTTTTTAAAAAAAATTTTTTAAAAAAAATTTTTTTTTTAAACTTTTAAAAGAAAGGGGGCGGAATTTTCATTTGGTTGGGATTAATTTTAGAGGGGAAGACGTTTTTTTAAAAATTTTTTTAAAAAAAGGGGAAAAACACTATTTGGGGGGCCCTAAAAAAAATTTAAAAAGGGGGGAAAATTTTTTTTACTTTTTTAAAAATTTGGGGGGGCCGGGTTCGGAACATTTTCCCTTTAAAAAAAGGGGAAAGGGAAAAAAAAATGAAAATTTTTAAAATAATTTAGGGAAAAAAAAAATTTTAAATTTAAAAAAAAAATTTTTAAAAGGGGGAAAAAAAAGGGGTTCAAAAAATTTCAAGGGGGGGGATTGTCAATGTTTCTTAAGTTATATTTCATTTTAAAAAATAAAGTTTTTTTTCTTTAATTTTTGAAAATTTTTGGTATAAAAGGGGGGGCAGTTTAAATTAGGTATTTTTTTAAAAATGCTGTAAAATTTTGAAAACCACTATTGGGGGGGGAAACCTACCCCCAAAAAGGGTTTTAAACAAATTTAATGTCACCTTTTTAAAAATTTAAGGGGTTTAAAAGAAAAAAATCATTTCCAAAGATATTTTATAAAAAATTTAAAATTTAAAATTTTTACTTTTTCAATACTTCTTTTTAATTTAAAGTTAAATTAGGGGAATTTTATTTTTAAAAGGTAAAATTGAAAATAACAAAAAAATTTTTAAAATTTTTAAAAAAAAATTTTAATTTTTTAAGGGTTAAAAAAATTTTTCTTTTTTTTACTTTCCCCAAATTTTTAGAAAAGGAAAAGAATTTAAAAAAGGGGTATTTTTTTTAAAAAAACTTTCTTGGGCAAAAAATGTAAAAATTTTTTAAAACCACCCCAAAAAATTAAAAGGGGGTAAAAAACCCAACCCCTTACCAAAAGTGGGGGGGTTTTTTTTTTAAAAATTTGGAAAATTTTTAAATTAAAAAGGTAAAAATAAAAAAGGGGGGTTTTGGGTTTTGCTTTGAAAATTTGGCAAATAAATGACAAAAAAGGAAATAAACTTTAAAACATATTTTCCCCCAAAAATTGGAAAAGGGGGGTAAAATGTTTTTAATTTTCTTAAAGGTATACTGTAATTAATAACAAGGTTTGGGGCCAATTTTTTTGGGGGGAAAAATAAAAAAAAATTTTTTTTTACCTACCTAAATTGGTCAAGCCTCCTTTAAAAATTTTAAAATTCTTTTTTAATTTTTCTTTCCTTTTCTAAGCTTTTTTTTTGACCCTCCAAAAATTTTTA